AGTAGCAGCGTGTGACGGCATGCCTCCGCCCGTGATTGATCCGGGGACCTTCTGTTTACAAGACAGATGCTCTACCACTGAGCCACGCAGGCTCGACTTGGTCGACGACCACCACATTTTTCGACGGCAAAAACACCGATTCTGGCGGTCAAGACCACTCCTATGCAATCGCACCAACACGACAGACATATCCCGCACGTCCTCTCCACGTGCATGTCGCCGAATGGACAATCTACGCCTGGCCGACTCGCAAAAGACTCCTGAGTAAAGTCTTTTGTGATTCAGAGCGTCACAAGACCAGGTACCGAATCTTCAGACCTTGCACATGTTGATCAGATTGTAAAGGCTGTCACACTTCAGTGAAGATGAACACAGCAGCTTGCATGTCTTCTCATTGAAGTTCAGGTCAGATGGAGTATCATCCATCAATTCCCGTCTCTTTGTTCATTTGCAGGCGTACTTTGTGAGCGACAGCCAGGGTGCTCCTTTCTGGATAACCCAACCCAATAGTCGTGGATACTCGTCAAAAAGAAATGGAACCAACAATAGAGGCTTTCGAGTTGCCCAGTCTCTTCCTGACCTAGTCGGGTACAGTAGCAGCGTGTGACGGCATGCCTCCGCCCGTGATTGATCCGGGGACCTTCTGTTTACAAGACAGATGCTCTACCACTGAGCCACGCAGGCTCGACTTGGTCGACGACCACCACATTTCTCGACGGCAAAAAGCACCGATACTGGCGATCTAGACCACTCCTATGCAAACGCATCAACGCGACGGGCATATCCCGCACGTCCTCTCCACGTGCATGTCGCCGAATGGACAATCTACGCCTGGCCGACTCGCAAAAGACTCCTGAGTAAAGTCTTTTGTGATTCAGAGCGTAACAAGACCAGGTACCGAATCTTCAGACCTTGCACATGTTGATCAGATTGTAAAGGCTGTCACACTTCAGTGAAGATGAACACAGCAGCTTGCATGTCTTCTCATTGAAGTTCCGGTCAGATGGAGTATCATCCATCAATTCCCGTCTCTTTGTTCATTTGCAGGCGTACTTTGTGAGCGAAAGCCAGGGTGCTCCTTTCTGAGTAACCCGACACAATAGTCGTGGATAATCGTCCAAAAGAAATGGAACCAACGCTGGGTGCTTTCGAGCTGCCCAGTCTCTTCCTGACCTAGTCGGGTACAGTAGCAGCGTGTGAACGGCATGCCTCCGCCCGGGATTGATCCGGGAACAATTGCTTTACAAGAAAGCCAATTGAGGCGTTGTATTTCGACTGGTTGTATTACCGTTTACGAGAAGAGACAATAGATTAAATGTCCCGCTAGATTATGCCGCTTACAAAACGGCACAACAGCTTCAAAAATTACTTTGTCTCCCGTTAAACTTGTAGTACCCACGTGGCGTAAAAAGGCAGGCGTATACCGATAATATTAATTTCTTACGTGCACGCTTGAGCGCCAATTTTTAATGGCTACGACTGCTGTTTCCCCCTCAGGGTGTAACTTGTTGCATTGCAAGAATGCTGCTTGGTGTTATAATTTGTTTAAGTGGTAAAAAGCACGAGAGAATTGAGGAGAGACGATCAAAACGCTTTACGTCTTCCTTTCTTGTACTCCACAAAACATTCTCGCGTCAATTGTACACGCGCCTAACGCGGTGTAGTCGACTTCATATCCACTATTTATTCAATTGAAACGGGCATCACTAAGATGGTACAATGTGTGCAGAAGCCTATATATATGAAATTCTAAGACAAAGCATCCAAGCGGAGGTCCAGTGTCCTTGTGAAGAATTACTGAATTTTTATGTTGAAGTGAGGCTCCCATTATGGATGTCTTAACGCTTGGACGAAAATTTGACAAAGAATCTGTCGACTCTTTCCGGATAGAGCTCGCTTAGGCAATCGTCGAGCTAATAGTAGCAGACCTTGCATGAACAAACTTGTTGTAGGTAGACTCTGAAGTCATTGCAACACCACCAATGTTGTTTACAGGAAAAGTTTATCCATCAGTCCTAATATCATCAGATCCACCCCGTGCCACATACACGAAATGCCTTCATCAATCATTGGTGGTGACAAGGGTTATAAAATATGATAGTCCACCATTAATTCAGGAAATGTTTCCTCATTAAAAGCGTTAGGAAAACGTTCGCTTATCTTAAAAGACACGACCGCTGTAGTAAAGATCGGCGTTGTAAAACTAGCATACTGTGTCGTCATTGCTTCATCACGACTCAAGCGCCAAGTGCTAGAAGATGTGGATCTCTGCTCTGGGACCCAACGTTATCACTACATTCAAGCGGCCTGTTAATGCCGTGCGGTGGCACTATTAGCGCATTCAAAAACAGTCTGCATGGACAAGTACGCAAGGCTGACGAGCGGCAGCTCTTTGACGAATCACTGTCCTAAGCTTCTTCCATTGTAATTGACAAAATGTAACCAATCATCTTAAATCCGACGGGGTTACGGGTTCAAACCAATAGACGAGACTGTCCGCGTAATGCACTGAAAAGTCCGATAAAGGTATTGAGTGCGGTACACACTTATACCCTATATGTGATTAAGCAATAAGGAGAAGTGTTGCCTACCACAAATTGTGTGTAACACACGGAAGACGTCACTACTTGACGTTATCACATAAATACATTAAATTGCATCATCAAAGAGCTTACATTAAGTTTAAGTGCGCTGTACTGACCGTGTCTCATCGGAGCGCGCATCTACTATTTCGTCTTTCCAACAATAACCATTTAGATTTTAGTTTGATCATTATACGTAATCAGCCTTTTAAATTATCTACTTGAAACGTTTGTAGCTCAGAAAGTAAAACCGTGATCGAGCAACACAAAGTTAAAATAATTCATTTATCGGTGGGGCAGTCGTGTGTTGCCCACGAGACCATTGCTGAACGCGAGAGAAACTAATAAAACAGTTTCTTCGCAGGTGCCTGAAATTGTGCGTAGAGGCAGTGGTCGATTAAATTGCCGCCTACATGCAGTCAGCGGATAGCTGCCAAATTATCTGTTGTGACAGTTCCTAAACACAATTGTGGGCCCTTCACAAACGTTATGTGGGAGCCCCCAAATTACTGTGGAAAAGATTACGCTTCTCCATAGAACTTTTCAGTGCTAATCTATCTGTCACACTTCACTTCCATAGACTGCACAAAACAGCTCATGCTTCAATCTTACGACAGATATACTGCTGTGGTAACAGGATACTTACAGTAATATATTTGTTTTCGCTTAGGTTTAGGTGTTCTGATTGCGAGCTCAAAGGATACAGCAAAAGTGAATGTGTAGATAGTTATTGCCACACCTTTATGATCGTACTTATCTTTGCGTGTGAAAAGAAAGAACTATTTATTCTTCAAGTATCAGTGTTCAAAACGCCGTGGTTCAATACTGGCTATTTATCTGTCATATCTTTATCTGCAATTAATGCTAAAAAGGCAGTCTAAGATATTTCTCTTTATTTTCTCTTTCAGCTGCATCCTCTTCACCGTAGTGCGCCTTCCAGCCTACCCCTTTAGGTGTTGCAACTCACGATGCTGGGTCTTACGTTGATCCAGCGTCGTTACTACTTCGAAATGTAGATTAAGCTGGATTCTACGTCGTTTTATAACGTAATGAAAAATTCTGACGCTATCGAACACTAGCTTTATCTCTTGCCTTACTAGCACTGTTCTGTACTTCTTCATGGCAGTTCCTAAATGCTCAATTCATGCAAAAGTGGTCTTTATGAGTTTGACTTTAGGAACTGATAGCAGCGTCTTCACAAGAGGCCACCTTAAATTGCGTGCATTAATTTCAAGAAACCACTATCAACACCGCTTGCATAAACTAAAACTGACATGCTACCCGCTTCCACGCACACATTCAGATACCGGTGTCTGCATTCGGGCGATGTAAGTTTTTTTCAATGCTCGAGCTATGTGTTGCCCAGCAAATGTTCACGTCCCTCAACATTTGCTGACCTATTGAAACCAAGCTGATTCCAAGAATCGCGGCCTCGAACAAAAAGATGCCCACACTTAAAACGCGTTTTCATGCTTGGGAAACGCTAGAAATACCCGCAAATAATTTCCAACTCTCCACCCTTGTGTTTACACATAAGCCTTTTCCTATTTATGGCACAATACCACCGACGAATTTGCGAATGTATCACCGCAATTGGAAGTTTTAATCCAGCGAAAATTTCACCCAGATCGCACAGATCCCCAAAGTCCATAGCATGGATGTCCCGGACAGGTCACAGTCGTGAACTTGAATGCAAACATCAAACATCAGCTTGTTATGGATGATTTGATTGGTAGCACTTTACCCATAGAATGCATAGACGAAATACGACCTGCAACTCACACGGACGCAGACGTCTTGGTCTGATTTGAGCTATTAAAAATTTGCCCGAAAAGGTAGCGATACATAAGTTGTAACGGGGCACCCTGAAGCTTGTACTGGTGACAGTACAAGCTACTTATTCTGATGACAGAATAAGGCGGTGCCTCGTAACTTCACGTACACTCGTACGTGCAGAGGAAGACGGTAAGAAGAAGCGAGTACTTGGTTAAAGTAAAAAAGTAGAACTGTATTTAGTATAGTTAATGTCTGCAATAAATCCCTATTTATCCTCATCTAACTATGTCTGAATACAAATGTGCATGTCAACTATCTGCTCACCACTCATTGCGTGCGTCTGTCGTGGCGCGTCTTCGTTGGTTGATATAATGGCCTATATCAACCAATTAGGAACTACTCGTAAGTGCTACAGAATATTCGTCCTTATGACAATATTCTGTGAATATAACTCTTATAGTTATATTCTATTAACAATTTCTTATAAATTGTTATGTAATGGTTCACCCCGTTACATCACCCCCCCCTTAACCATCAGTAACTTTAGTGACTGATTGACTACATGGATACTCGTCCCAAATCAGTTGGGACAGGTTTGCACTTGTTGGTCCGAGTCCACAGTCCATCCATCAGTTTCATCGCATGGTGAACAAGTCCATGCGATGCGCGAGCAAGGCCGCCGAGAGCGCTTCCGCACGTCTCTGTGCGGACGCCGAAGCAGAAACCACAGCAACTTATGTCTCATCGGTCGCTGAAGCGACTCAGCCTGTGTCACCTGGTGATGCAGGCGCTCGTCATGAAGACACTCATGTCTTCACAGAGTATGAGCTCGGTGTCTCGTACTCTCCTGATACGGAAGACGGATCCGTATCGACGGCGATTGAATCCAAGCCGCCTGCCAAGCGTGGCATGTACGATGCTTTGCGTCGCAGCATCTTTGGTTCATCTGATGAATCAGATGAACCATCGCCAAAGCGAAGGCGCTCGAGGTCGCGAGACTCGGGCGCTAACAGTGGTGTCGGTTCTCCTATGGACACCACTTCGCAACGAGGTGCCAGTACTTCTGTTGGCACATCGCAGGAAGAGCTGGATCGCAATCTCTTGCGTCTCGCTCCTGAGAAGAAGGCATGGATGCCTCCCAAATCTATCATGGATCACTTGTCGGCGACGACGAGTGATCGTTATCGAACACGGTTGTTCGATTCGTCAAGGATCCATCACCTTGACTCCAGTGCGAAAAAAATATCGCGCTGAACATGAATTCTTCATCGATGCTTTCTTTAGACACCGATGGTACAGTGGGAATCACAAACGTGATGGTCCCTCACTACTTCAAGCGTGGAACGCCTACATCCATAACCTTGAGGATGGAGGTCTTGACATTTGGAACGACAAACTTATCAAAGCTCGTGATAAGTTTGAAAAGCGAACCCCGACAGGTGCACTCTACAAGCTGCATCGTCTGTCAAGGGAGAAAGGATTACCCTGCCTCTCTTGGGGAGACTCGTGCCCATGTTGTGTGAACAACTCTGCACGAGCACCTAAGGAGGCTTACCTCCTTACCAGCCCGTGGTGGTGCGTACGTATCTCTACTGAGATGCACGAAGGGATTGACAACCTGAAATCCCTTAACGACCGTGCCGGGAAGACTTTCTCCGGCGGTCCTTCTGCGGCACAGGATGTGCCGCGTCGTACTGCTCAACCAGACCCAGTACGTCAACCATCAGTTGGGAGCGGGGCTCCCAAGTATCCCAGGACGGGGGATAGCCGCTCCACCAGACGAGATAACTCGTCCGACGTCCGTTCACGTCGCGGTGGTTCAACAGCTGATCAACTAGATAGCGCTGGCCACCGCGAGAGTCCTCTAATGGAGGTGGAGGAGGAGGAAAGACGCTCTCCACACAATTGTGGGGATCCGTGTGTTCCCGAAAGCTTCTTTGATATCGTAACACAAGGGTTACGCGGCGATCTCGAACATGAGCGGGACAGGCGTCTCCAACTGGCGGACGCTGTCTTGAAGCATCGAGCTGAGTTTGCCTTTGCTCAGCTTGAGAACAAGAGAGCTTTGACATCTCTGCGTTACGAGCTAAGGGTAGCTCGTGAGATTGTTGATCTGTCTCGGGATGAGATAAATGCCCTATAGACCCTTGTCGATATCCACCGTCGGGAGCACAACGCCCTCTGTGAGATGCTTGAACGCAAGAGCGTTCTTCATCCGAAGAAACAGCGTACTGATGATACGGCTTAAGCCGACCAGCGTAAAATGTGGGATGCGTTCGCATCTTAGGTGGCAGTTCGATCGTGTTTGCGTTGCCTAGGCGATGCAATACACGAAATGGACCGATGTGCTTGGGTAGAAGTTTAATACTACCCAAGTTAGTCACTACGTGCTTTGGTAGATTAACCGTAGACAGTAGGACTAATTCACCTTGATTAAATAAAAGAGTTTTTGCCCTTTCGTTCTTGTCTGCGTTTTGCTTTTGCTTATCCACCGCTTCGGCGATGGAGTCTTCCACAAACGGACTACCGTTTCACGAGCCAGTATGAACTCATCTTCTGACTCGTTAGATTCAGTGCGCTGTGAGTGCACTGCAGCAACATCAATCTTTTCTTCAGTGAGGGCTTCCGCGCTCCTACTGGCTTCATCTTCTTGATATCGATGTTATCGATATCGACATCAAACACAATGACCTCATAGTCAGAGCGTGATGAGCGTGAGTCAAATTGGTTTTTGCTCGCGCGAGTCTCTCCCCCCCTAAACCAGAGTTACACTCTAGTAAGGTGGGTACACGCGGATGGCGTAAGCCATTCACGTAAAACGGTGTATGTGTCGTGGACGCATGCACCAAGTTGTTAATGGCAGACTCTACCATTGGCAAAAACTCACTCCAACTCTTAAAGGAGTGTACGTATCCTCGAAGTATCTCTTCGAGGACACGATTGGCGCGTTCCGTCTGACCATCTGACTCTGGATGATCAGATGTAGACATCTTCAAGCGCGTTCCGAGAAATTTGAACACGGAACGCCAGAAATCAGCTGTGAATCGTGGATCTCTGTCTGATACGAGTTCTCGGGGCAACCCATGAAGTCGGAAGATGGTGTCAATAAAGACACAAGAACAGCCACTTGCCGTGATTGTCTCTGTTACAGCCACTAGGTGTACCATTTTGCTGAATCTGTCAACAAATACGAGAATACCCGTATTTATGCGTGCGTCTTTGGGTAACCTGAAGACGAAATCCATTGAGATGGATTCCCAGCACTCAGCCGGAACCGGTAGAGGCTGTAAAGGTGCACGCAGTGAAGGACTTGACTTCACTCGTTGATAGACTTCGCATGCGCGAACATACTTTAGCACAAACTGGTTCTGGCGGGACCAGTAAAAGTCTCGACTCACCGTGAGATTTGTTTTCTCCCGGCGACAATGTTCTCCTACAGGAGCATCGTGATACTCGAACATGATCCGCAAACGCAGATTAGTATCATCTAGAATGACAACACGTGGTGTGTCACCAGTAACGGCTGTATAGTACAGTTAACCGTTGTGAGTAGTGTATCGCTCTGATACAGATCGATACGCAGACGTTGATCGTTTCAACGATTCTTGAGATGGCTGTGAGAGATGTGTCAACAACTTCACAATCTCACCATCTTAGGCATACGCCCGCCTCACATCATCATGTAATGTTAAAGATGGTATTGTGGACGTCATAACCGCAACAGTGGCTGTCTCACTGTTCGGTTTCAAGACTGGTTCAAAGTCGGGCCGACGTGAGAGTGCATCAGCGACGACATTAAGTCGTCCTGGTTTGTACTCTACCGTAAAGTTGTATTCTGCAAAGAATGACAACCACCGCGCCATTCGTTGTGAAAGGTGCGGGCTGTTTACTGCCGTGCTTAACGACGCATGGTCAGTGTAAACAATGTAGGGTCTATCTCCTAATAGATAGACTCTTAACTTCGCGAGTGCATACTTCATGGCAAGGAGTTCCTTGTCATGCACTGGATAGTTCCGCTCAGTTGGTTGCAGCTGACGCGACTGATAGCAGACGACGCGTTCAACGCCTTCAAGATCGTACTGCATTAATGCACAGCCGATTGCGAAGTCGCTGGCATCACAGACCACATGAAATGGCCTGTCCTGATCGGCAATTGCTAGGACTGGGGATTGTATCAAGCTCTGCTTGATACCATCAAAGGAGCTCTGACATTCAGCGTTCCATAACCACCTCTCGTTCTTTCTCAACAAACGAGAGAGGTGTACAGTCATCTCGGCGTAATTGCGTGAGTACTTGTGCAAATACACCGCTAGCCCAAGGAATTTTCGAAGACCTTTGACATCAACCGGCACAGGCCAGTCGGTGATCGCCTTGATCTTTTCGGGATCAGGACGTACACCGTTCTTAACAACGATGCACTCAAGAAGTGGTATTTCGCTTGCTGCAAATTTACTTTTCTTGAGATTTGCATACAAATGATACTTTCGCATGATTGTAAGAACCTGTCGAACGCGGCATCTGTGAACCTCAACGTCCGACTTTCCATCAGTATCCGACTATGGATGAATACGTCATCTAAATAACTAGGTTCGAATTCTCGTACTGGTCTCAACAGATGTGATACACATCTGTTGAACGTTGCACGGGCATTACTAAGCCCTTGTTGCATTACTAGCCATTCCCAGAGCATGCCGCTAGGCGTGCTTACTGCGGTATAGGGTATATCCCGTTCTCGCGTAAGGATTTGATAGAAGCCATCCATCAAATTCATGGACGAAAAGATGGTACTCTTTGATATACCATCAATGATTACGTCCTTCCTTGGTATCGGCGTCTGAGCCAGTACCGTTGCAGCGTTCAATTTGTTGAACGCGTGCACTATCCGCCACCCTCCTGTTGCTTTTCGCACACAGAAGGTCGGAGAGCTATGTGGGGAAGTTGATTCCCTCACATGGCCCGAAGCTAAACGATTGGCAAAGAACTTGTCGATCGCAAGTACTTGTTCACGAGGCAGTGGCCACTGCTTCATGACACAGTACTTCGAGCCGGGTTTAAGCTCGACCTCGTGTCGAATACCTTTATCCTTCGGTAATTCGCACGGAACAGTTTCAGGGAATACATCCTTGAATTCAACCAAAGCTTCATAGAGAGGATTTGTCTTGAGCGATTCCCACGATTGGGAGGCATATCGCTCAATTCGTGTCTTTTCATCTAGGACACTCTCGTCCATAGATGAACTACTGAGAACTCTCTCGTTCTCAGTGAACACTGTTGCTGACCTTATGTCGGCTACACACTCGTCGTCAGCTAAGAGTATGCAGATCTGTTTGACTTTGCCACTACGCAGATCACGCAAGAACCTTTTATGTTCGAGCGTTGGCAACTGAGTGATCTCCGAAGTTAACTTCGGAGGCGCAATCAGATCAAGTGTATAAGCGCCTACGCTTGATCCATCATTGACTATGACATTCAATGTCTCTGTCATTTCCTGGGGAATTATTCCCTCAGGCCTCGAAGGACTTATTCCTTCGGCTTCCCGGGGACTTATTCCCGCGGGTTTCGGGGAACTTTTATCCGCCGTATTTGTAATCTTGGGACTTATTCCCTTTACTTCCTCTAGCTGGGGTTGCGCAACCACAGCGAGATCCTCTACGAAAGACTCTCCAGTCGATCTAGGATTATCGTTTCGCTTAACCTGAGCGATCGATTGTTTCTCTTCTGGATGTTTTCCGCTAGGGATACATCTTTGTCCCGGTCCACTCGACTTATTCGAGTGGTGGACCTTCAGCGCAGTCTGTGCGTCCTCACAGCTGCCGGAATATTGCTCCGAAGTGTAACTGTTTGTTACACTAAGGTTTCTTGCAATCGTGCTAACGACCGTACCACAAGTAAGGCCATCGCACTCACTCGTAGTACATCCACACGCTTGTGGACTCTCCAAAGCGTTCATGAGATGGCCATCTGATGGACAAGCGACAGGCATCGTTACTGTCCGATGTTGCCAGTTTACCCGTGGTTCGTACCTTCTGAGCCACGGTATTCCAAGGATGACATCAAATTTGTCATCCAAATCCAGTACGATAAAGTCATCGTCATATTGGGACTCTTCTAGCGTATAGTGGATCTTCACTATACGCTTCTTGACGGTTACGGATGCGCCTGTCGCAAGACGTACCGTCATCCTCGTAGGAGGTGTGTCACATTCACTGAGCTTAAAGTGACCATCTTCTAGCTATCGGCGTTGCACAAAATTG